GTTTCTTCAGATATTAATCTAATGAAGAACATTGTTCCTCATTAAAGAGATGTATATTCATGCAAACAATGAAAACCATAGCAAGTAATGTTAAAGCTTAAACAGTAAATCAACAAAATCAACGAATGAAACTGGATGGAGGTTATAGAATATCCAGACACCCATATTAACCTGTAAAATAATTATTTGGGTATATGGGTTAATCAAATATATTTTTATGGTCTATATCTTTTAGATTTATTTATAAATAATAATTTGTTACTTAGTCTGCATGATAAAACCTGAAATTCATATAATATAGTGCTAATATAAATATATTTTGATATTTTTACCAATATTGGTTGGTTAATAACAATTTTATTTTGAAAACATTGACTTGCATAATAAAATTAAGCAGTTTTCAGTTATTTGTCAAAACAGAATGTTTGGCATGACTGGATTCATGCAAAGTGTGTGTGTGTGTGTGTGTGTGTGTGTGTGTCACTTCCTTGCTATAGTTTTGTAGTGAAAGAGATAATCAGCTACCTCGAAAAAGAGTTTGTGTTTTGTGTGCGATCTGCCAAGGAAAAATTACCAAAAAAGTAGTTAGCAAAAATCTACATTATGGACCAGAATCTATGCTAATGTTCTTCCCTCCCCTGAATGGCATGACCAATCAGAAAGATCTCTCTCTGGAAAAAAAAAAAAAATTAGATTAGTGGATTAGATTTTCTGAGCTTGGTGGACAAACACATGTTTTTGCTGGTGAAAAGTAAAGGTTGGATGTGTGACCCCATTTTTGTTGTTTCTACCTTGCCTGTTGCATTGGACTATCGTTTGAAATGTGATTTGGCTACAAGTGTTACGGTAGAGAGACAGAAGAAATCTATTGCAGACGTTTGTTGCTACTATAAGCTGAGAGTTTTTTTTTCTTCTTTTTCTTTACAATTACAAGTTTATTTAAAATTCTAAAACATTCAGGAAAATGAATTTGTATAGAAAAAGTTTTGATCTCTTGGGCATCATGACTTCGAATATTGAATATCAGATTCTGTCATTATATTCTTTGAAAGCTTTTAAAATTTTAAAAGTGGCATTATGAATTTGGAATCAACAAAAAAAAACAAAAACATTCAAATCCATGTTATAAAATGATTATTAATCATTTCACCCCAAGCAAGGCAATAAAGCCACTAGGATGCAAGAGATTACCGAGTTAGAGACTATAATAAAAACTACTGTTAAGGAATTAAGAAAACAGAAGATAACAATTGACATTGCATTTAAAATCTTGAAAGTTAAAGTTGACTAAGAAGCTGGAAGAGAATTCCATAAGTGACAAGTGTGATAGTAGAAACTGGCAGCATAGTACTTTTGGTTATATCTAGTCATTTCAACTGTAAAAAGATGAGAACTTATGGCCAATCTAATACTGTACTCAAATTTATAAAGTCTAGGTACCATAGCAAAAAGTTCATCAGAACAATTACCATGAAAGTATTTATAGAAAAAGCACAGGGAATCTATGTTATGGCAGTGGTAAATAGACTGAAGTCGAGATATCTGTTCAAGGCCAATAACATTGCAGATTCATTGGATTTTATCAAGAATCTCTTAATATATAGCAGGAGCAATAGACCAGAATGGCAGCAATATTCAAAGCAAGGATGAATGGTAGACTTATAAATATGTAAAGTAAAATCTAATGAGAAAAATTATCTAGCCCAACATAGTGAACCAACTTTTTAGCTGCAGACTTAATTGATTCAATATAATCTTTCTTCTTCATGTCATCTGAAAATGTTAGTCTGAAAAAGTGCAATGAGTGAATCTTCTGGAGATTAGCATCAGCCAGGCTAATGGAAGGTAAAAAGGGTTTTCTCAGATGAGTAAAATAGATCAGTTTCATTTTTGAAGCATTAAAATTAACAAGCCCTTCCTTGCCACATTTAACAACAGACATTTTTTAGATCTGCCAATCTGACCGTTTTGAACCAATCAGACTTACTATTAAGACAAGAGCAAACTTTCATTTCATGATTTGATCAGAAAAATTGGATCAGTTTGAAAATTCATTCAGAAATGCCATAACCTTTCAACTTGTGAAGAAGACCATTATGCAAAAACCCTGTCAAATGCCTTTGAGATGTGTCCAAAGCAACAGCCATTCACTATTCTTATCTTTCAGCATTAATCATTAACATATCAGTAGTTGACCTAGAGAAGTAAAAGACAGTACTTATCTGAAAGAAGCCGCTGTGACACAAAATGCTTAACAAATTCAGAATTAATTAGAGCCTCTAGTATTTTGTCAAAAAGTGGTAGAATCATCTGGTCCTTCTATTAGAAAGATCAGATGATTTGCCAAGTTTTTAAAGACTGAAACTACAAAAAAGGATTTCCAACAAGCAGGAAAGCAGCAAGACATTTCTTAACCCTAGAACACTAACCATGGGTATATAGTATATATATTTTCCTATTTTTAATTACAATTTTCAGTACCTGATTTTCTTACCTAAATAATGTTTTTTCAGTTCCTATTAATGTTAACTCAAAGTACAAAGTTTGAAGTGCCTGCATGTAAAATATTTCAAATAAAGATTTATATTTAATATTTGTTTTGATATTTTCAAAATCGGGTATGATATACCCATGGTTAGTAGTGGTGTAACTTTAATTGATGGTTAGTGTTCTAGGACTATTGCAGGGATACACCATCAAGTCTACATGCTTTCTGAGGACCCAATTTAGAAATGATAGCAGAAATCAGAGACAAAGTTATATTCAGAGAAATGAGTCAAGAGTAAAATTTAAGAATTTACAAGCAAAACATTCTGCTTTATCAGCAGAAGATATTATCACCTCAAATTGAGTGAAGAGAGGGGGAATAGAAGACTTTCTCTTATTTAACACACTATTACAGAGCCACCAGTAGTCGTGTAAATCAAACTTGTTAGAGGCTATACAGCACCTCATATCAGCAAACAAAAACAGCCTCTTTGAGGACACATTTACAATTTGAGCAGTCACAAATAGGTGTCTGTTGTGATCAAAATTATCATGCTGATAGAAAAAGAGATTCCTATGGGCTATAGCGGTTGAACAGGTGTGAACCAAAGAGAAGATTGTGGTTTAATGTAATATTTGTGAAAAGGTGCAAAAGCATCAATGTCAGCTTTAACTAAAGAAGAAATCTTTGTGGCATAATCCTCAATAGGAAATTTAAGAATATCAGTCCAAGGGACATCTTAAATCCCGATCCGTAAACTGGTAACAGAAAGAATTCTTGTAAATATGAGGTAACTTTCTAATGACTCAAGAGAAATATCAATAGATAATACAGCATGATCCAAATTGCGATGATCTACAAGAGCTGAGAGAGGAGATAAGGAACAAATCAAGTAAAAAAAGAATCTTTAACAGATTTATTAGGGAAACGAGTAGAGAAATCGATTATTTAACTGAGAGACGAATTGAAATTTTGAATACTGGCAACATTAGTAACATTAGAATACTTAAGCCACTTAATGTGATGAGCATCAAAATCACAAAAATATTCGCAGATGGATGTAGAGAAAGAGTTATTTCTATATTATCAGAAATTTTATTTAACATATTAGTCCTGAGAAGAAGGAGAGTGATAAAGAAAAAGAGAGAGAGATAACAAAGTGCAATAACAAAAGTCAAAAGCATGTGAAAGAATCATCTGGTGACTCTAGAGAAAATTGCCTCTACAATTGGGAAATTTTCTTTGAAGAGAAACACCGAGGACATTCATATATATGCTAGAAGAGAAGAATAGCCTGAAACAGAGAATTCATTGGTAGCAATAGAAGAATTGAAATTAGTTTCACACAAAGTGTAAAGACATATCAAAATTATCTCATTTGAAAGAGGACAGATGAAGGAAGAATGTGTCCAAGTTTGATTAATTACAGCTAGAATTGGGTTTTAAAAAGAAAATTCATCATTATATGAACTTTTGGAGTAGCAATATTATTTATAGTATTTTCATTTTTCAAGAATACAAGCACACAAATAAAAAAAATTTTTTAGTAGAAATTTTTAGTTTTACTTGAAATTTATTTGATGAAATTCACTAATCATTTGTGAGATTTCAATTTTTTTCTGGTACCAAATTATGTTTCATATCATGGTATTAGTCTTTGATTGCATTAACCAAAATGTCCTTTTACTTTACTATATAAAACTATGTAAAGCAGAAAAAAATAGTCAAAATTTCTATTGAAATGAATGGGCATAAATGTTATCTTAATTCATAATTTGAAAAATTTTATCTGTTTGCAATATACTTCAAAATTCTACAAAAGTTTTTTTTTTTTTTTTTAAATTAGCTGATTTTTATTTGATTATTGAAAAAAAAAGTATTTTTACTGAATTATAAATATTTTAATATTGAAAATAAATCCATTCAGATCAATAACTTATATAGTTAAACTAAATTTATATTTTGTTTATCTTTCATTTCTTTACACAAAACTTTGGTTAATTAGATATGTAAACAATTTAATGTGTCAAGCAACATCTTTGTTGCAAGAAATGATAAACTCATATATTGCTTGTCCTATATATTTTTAATACCCAAAAGAGTTCATTGTGATTCAAGCTTGTCTATCTGAAAAATGACTTTGTATTAGTGAATGTGGGCAGCTTACAAGGATAGTTTCATTTTGCGTGTATGTGTGTTTCCTTATATATCCTAAAATTATAAAAACTAATTAAGATATGTTTTTGTATCCTACTTTGAGAAGAATCATTAACATTTCAAACTTTAAACAAACTACTATGCAACCTTTTTTATATGCAAGGAAAGTCTCTCCATTGTTTTTCTTTTATGTTATGGTAATGTCAACACAAAGGAGGAGTTCAATTTTCCAAACAATGTTTAGTATGTTGTTTTATTAAGGACTTAATTTTGGTTAGTTTTTTTTTTTGCTTTATGATTTGATTAAAGTTTGTTTTTTTTCTAGGATGGTGCAACTCCTTTATTTAAAGCCTGCCATAAAGGTCATCTTGATGTCATTGATGAATTATTAAAGCATAAGCCAAACCTAGGACTTCTACCAGTGAGTTTTTTTGTTTTTGTTTTTTAATGCTATAAAATAAATCTGGTACTGCTAATTCTCTTAATCAAAATATAGAAAAGTAATAAAAACGAACAACAAAAGTTCAAAAATGTGGGTAGATAGACAAAGAATTTAATATTAAAAATATTACAGGAACAGATTTATTTTCATTTTATCTACTGGCACACACAATGCACAAAACAACCAAATTGCATTTATTCTTACCTAAAATTAATTCATAAAGAAAGATTTACCAGAATTATATTGTATAATTTCTATATAATAGTTTGTCAATAGATTACTTGCTATTAGTCTGACATATAGACTTCTGTGTCTTCCAAATTTCCATATAATTTATATATAAAAAAAAAAATTAAAATCAAGTTTATAAACTTTTCCTATATAACAAATTGTCTGAATTTCTGAGTAAGCATTTTCATCATTAATTTTTTTTTTTTTTAATTAATTTGTTTTATCCTCATGACATTCATAAATTCCCTTCAGCCATTAAAATAAGCAGTGTGGATTTATAATAACTCATTGTGTAAAAAATAAAAAAAAAAAACAGTTGCCTAAGTTATTTAGATTAAACAGTTTTGTCAAAAGTTTTTCTTTCATCCTATTTCTTTTTTTAAATGTTTATATCATTGTAAACATACAAGGCAACTGTCACCCAAGCTTTCCACCAACTGGCCAATGATCACCACATCTTGCATTTCAATTCTCGATCTTGGTGTTCTCTAAAAGCTGGGGAAGAGTATACTGCATGCTCACAAGGTAACATGACAAAAGGAAACACTCCAGGTCACGAAATAACAAACTGTTTCCTATATGTAGGCATTTTATTAAGGGATTTGGCTGCTTGTCCAGGTAGGTAGGCAGGTGATATTTAGGACAACTTCTATATCAGCTCTTCCTCCCTACCAATTTCTTGGCTATCTACTCATCCCGATGTGATGGCTGGCAATAGAAAATGGAGGTTTTGGAACCACAACACAGACACACCCATCTCCAATCAAGGGTAAACCAGAATGCTCCTTGATCCCAAACATGCCTGCTAGTATAGAACAGTATCCAGATTAAAACCTGTTGTTTCATTGCCATTTGACCGCTAAAAATCTCTCTACTTCCCATTCCCCTTTGGTTAAATTTGATGCCACTTAGAAGACCAAATTTCCAAAAGAAACCATCCACTGGTCTATCAAACAGAAACACTTGAGATCAAGATAAAAACCACCTCTTCTCTATCTACATTGGTGTCCATCGTATCCCATGATCATTTATTTCACATTCTACAACTGTTAAATAAGCAACATGGATCAGAAATAAAAAAAAAAATTGGGCTTCCAACAAGATCTGAACTTGTGTCTCTTATCCATTTCTTTGTCAACTTAAATATTTTCATGAATACAATATTTCCTTCATCTTTTTACTCTCCCTGTCATTCTTTCTTGTTTTCTCATCATCCTTGATCATTTTATGCCATCTTTTATTTCCCCCCTCTTCATCTCTGTTCTCTTTTGTTACTTTTGCAGAATGGTGAGACAGTGCTCCACTCTGCTGCGTTATTTGGTCACTTAAAGGTTGTGAAGCGACTTGTTAGCCACGGAGTGGATATATCTGTTAAAAATAAGGTAAGGATGTCTTAACAAAATGAAAGCTTTTTAAAATCCACACTCCAAATACATGTCAATGCTTTTGTTAATTCAGTAAATAAATCAGTAATCATCGACAAAGAATATAAAAATTTCCCTGCTTTGATTAGATATTATATTCATAATTGCCATGTTTTGTGTCTCACTAACATTTCTGATCACTGAAAATCTATTTTTTTCTTTTTGCACAAACCTTGACAAAATAAGTATTAAACCAAAAATAACAATTTGTTGGCTAAATGATAACTTCTACTTTTAAGCAATAATGTTACTTTTTATGAACTTTTCTTTTAGTCATAACTTTTTGACAACCTTTACCTCCTTTCATCAAAAGAAGATGTGTACAAATTCTTCAGTGGGGGGGGGACTATCTACAATCTACTCTTTCTACTGTTGAACTATCACTGAAGTTAATATTTTTAGCAGAAATATTTTATGTCATTTCCCTTCAGGAGATGTTTGATCATGGCCCTCCACAACTTCCTCTCTTGTTGCTCTAAGCAACACTTGACTCTTTATCCTGATTCTGCCAGCCATTCACATAAACTAGTTAGGTAGTTTACTTGGCATTTCCCCCTCTGCCCCCTCCTTCCCTCACTGTCTTATGAGTGTTTAATTTTTCAAGCCCTTTTTTCTCATAATGTATCCCAAAAATTTCAATTGTCTCTTTCTGTTTTCAAATATAAATGTCTTAGTTCACATTATCTGCTAGCAGTATGTGATTCATGTCAGGAAATACCAGTGAACTGAATCAGATTTTATGTCCATCTGGAACCTTTGATCTGTGGTAACCTCATTAGGCACAGAGTTCACCCTAAGTGATACCAAAATGAGCTTTATACTTGGTATCACATCAGAACATAAAAAGAGCAAGGTGCTTCTGAGATCTGACCTAGAAGGTATCTACCAAGTACAGAATTGAGCCTTAAAAGATATTGGTAGGTTCACAAACATAAACAGTCAATTCAGGTGAACTTCCATGATACAACTACATAACAGAAAGTTATATAAACACCCAACCCATGAGGAAAAAGGCAGAGTCCCTCACATCCTTGCAAGAAGTATCAAATGTTCAATGTCCCTGAAATCACACATCCTCTGTAGCCGAAATTAATTTGGCAGAAATGCATAAACAATTATTTTATGAAAGATTTAATTTTATATTTTTATCAGAAGTTTACTAACATTACAATATAGATAAGTATTAAATGGTGAACTCCCTAGAATTCATATTTACTATATTGGTTCATCACATGCTAAATATACGATGGAAATTTTGGCACCTGCTTACTTCCCTTATATACTCTTATAATACTTAGGGGCATGTGGCTGACTGGTGAGAATGTTCGCTTTCTGAGCACGAGACCCGGGTTCGAACCCCACCACGGTTGATTTGTCAGAAAGGAGACTTCCTAACGTTATTAGTTTGGAGTTGAACAATCCCAGCATGCAGCACCTTTGGAAAGTGCTTGAAAACCATACCACAGGTTGACCCAAGCCTTGTGAGTGAAATTGGTTAGGCAGAACCCTTGGGGGCATTGATAGCTGTGTTAGCACAAACTCACAAGATATCATGACAGTGTTTGAGTGTGCTGGCCTTATTCAAATTTTTGATCACACTAAATAACACACTCTCCCAGAAACTGTAACTAAGGTCTGCTCAGCATAGTTGCAGTATAAACCACAGGTTGGCTTTGTGGGTGTTGAACAAACACAAAATGTGCCTGGCAAGCATCTGCAATAGGGATTGGCTAGCCACCCTAATAAATAGGTATCCTTGAATACGAGTGGCCAGCTATTATTATATTTTTCCTGTCACTAATTTATATGTAATCATTTTAGAGAATAAAAATGATATGTTTTTTTTTTAATAAATCTGATGTGATATTGTGGGTTGCATAAACAACCCTAGTTAGGAAAATGAGCACTTTATGAAAGTTTAAGATTAGTTTTTGGTCTTTGATAGCCTTTTTTGAATGAAGCGGAAACACCCTTCAGTTTTACTTCTCACTACTTTTGGGCTGTGTCCATTAGAACCACATATTCTATATTTAGAAATCAAATTTGTTATATTGAAAATGTTAAAGTAAATTTTAGAACGAATCTTCAACAAGCACCTTGTAAAGATCATTGTTACTTCAGTGAGTTCAATCTTCACTGAGTGCCACACATTTGTTTTCTTGTGCCAGACTATGTTAAGCTTAGTAAATAACCAAGAAGCACTTTGAAATGTTATGAATGCAATGGGATAAATAGATTTCTATGAACAATATAACATTCTTTGCAGGTAAAAACTCTACTTTATTTTTTATTTTTTAATCATTTTACCCCAAGCAAGGCAATAAAGCCACCGAGAAACAAGAGGTTACTGAGTGGAGAGAAATATGAGAAAAAGAAAGCATCATGAAGTAGAGAGAACAATAAAAGAACAGAAATTAAAGAAAGATGAATTGATATTGCATTTAAAATTGACTAGAAAGCAAGAAGTCGGACTGTCAAACTGGGCTACAAGTACCAAATTGGGCTACATTTGAAAGTTTAGTGCTACTAAATGACTTTCTTATTAATAGCTGAAGTTATCCCAGCTTATTTTTAAAAGCAATACCAAAAGTAGCAAGAAGCAAAATTAAAAATATAGTAGCATGTGGCTTTCAAAAGTAACCCAATCTGACATCTTATCTCCAAATAGATTTTCTACATTAGAGAATATATATCACATCTACTATGACAAAAAATGGGGGATCTGTTTGTAACTTCCTTGTTGAGAGAAGAGTTCTCTCACTCAATATCCACTTTGTTAATCAGATATTGTTCTACAAACAGGGTGACAAATGGTGAAATTTGAAAATCTTACATTACTAAATTTTGGATTGACTTTCTCATCTTCAATAGACATAGATAGCCCAAGTAACAAAATTTAAATTTCAATACTGCTCGGGTTTTAAAATTAGATCAATTTGGCAACTACATACTGTGGTTTAATTAGTAAAAGTATTTTCTTAACAAGTTGACTCAAGTTGAACTAAAAATAGTAATAATATTTGACTCTTCACTTGGATGGTTAGTTATAGTATTTGTAAAAATCTTCATTGTTTGGGTGTTATATATAAATTCTTTCAGTGTTAAGATATTTCATTTCTAAGCTTTTAAGCAGAAGAATAAATGATATATTAAAGTGTTTACTATAAATATTAAAGAAGAATCTATGTATGTGATGAATAGTCTTATGATGTGAGAATTAATTTCAGGTTAAATGCGTTTAACTTTTTCAAAGCATATTATTCTAGCTAGAGTAAATTAGCTATATGTAATACAAGGGATTAAAAAATGTTTTAACATTCTTAATTAGAACTTAAAAATTCAACTCAGTAAAATTTAAAAAAAAAAAAATTAAAAGAAAAAATTATCCAACTAAAATATTCCCTCTGAATCCCTACATATTTATCCCACTTTGGAAGTAAGTCATCAGTTTCCACTCTAAAATATTCTTTATTCAAAGTACCCATAAATTTGTTGAAAGGTTCTTAATTCAATCCTGATTGGAGATGTTTTTGGCTAGGTACTTTTCTACCAATTAGATAACTTCGAAGGTGACAACAATTTTATTTTTATATCAGTTATATAAATTATATATATATTTTTTTAACTTCACAGGAAGGTCAGACTGCTGCTGAATTGTCATCAGAGGCTGGCTATGACTACATTGCCAAGTTTTTAGAAACCACACAAGACAGTGCCAATGCTAATGCACAGGCTGAGGCAAGTGCAGCAAAAGAAGTAGCTGAAGAATGCACCACCAAATTACAAGAGCTGGAAAATAACGAGACAAATGCATAAATTGCAAGAATCACAGTGTCTGGCAATGGTGTTCTCATGTTTGTGACAATGAAATTGTATTTGTTACACTCTTGTCAAATGTCTTGTCACAAGTGCATCACCCCAACAGCAACAAGTAAACATTTTTCCATGTGATGTAAAAAGAAAAAAAAATCTGCTTCAAAAATAGAAAACAAAACATTTAGCTTTAACTGAGAGCATATTTTATCACATTTACTTTTTTTTTTTTTTTTTTTTTAAATAAAATCTATTGTTAATTGCAACAGTGATAACAAATTCTACAGACATTAGTGCCATAAATGCTTTAAAAGTGCTTTTAACAATTGAAAAAACATAAATAAATACTGATTTCTTTGGACTAGCAATTCAATCTTTGTTTTGTTTTTTGATTTTTTTTGTTTGTTTTTTTTTTGTTTTTTTTTCTTTTTTGCTGCTTCAAACAGAAGCTCCCCATCCTTCTTCAGCAGATCCAAGTTCACATTTTTAAAAAGATTTGAGTAAGAACAGCAGAGATAAAAATGTTATTCCAAAGAAACCATTGTTTAAGTAACAATTCACATTTTGGAACTCATTAAGAAAAACAAAACATTGTTTTTTTTTTTTTTTCTCTCTCCCTCTGTAATCTGATATATAAATTTTTAATTTAGGTTTAAAAAGTAACTTCAGATTTTTATAACTAGCATCTAGTGGAATTAGTTTTTGAAGCTAAAAGGTAACCAAAGTGTTAATGTTGGTATAAGAAAGTAAACTAGTTGCTTTGGTTTTTAAAAAAGCTGTACAGGTGATATGCAATTATGATAGTTTGAAAAAAATAATGTTTAATTCATTTTACATATCTTAAGCAAACTGATAATAAAAATTTTCTAGGGTGTTACTGCTGAGAGTAATATCAAATTGAACAGTTAATTCACTTGTGTCAATTCTTTCAAGAGACAAATGTTAAATACACAAATCAGTCTATCACCTACCAGCTGTGCATATCACATACATACAAACATCTCTTCTGCTATCCATTCCCCCTTGTGACTGTGACAAGCTAAGTTAATAATTATGGCGTTGTGTCAACCACTGTCAAAATACACATAAAAAAAATACATGTTTGAAAAATGGATAAAAATTGGTTATTTCTACAGTACATCTTTCAAGTCTACCCTTTTTGTTTCCCAGATCCTTCCACATGCTTTATCATTTGAAAATTTTGTTGGTGCATACTTTGTTAAGTTTGGGAGCAGATGCAAATGAAGATACAATGTCAAGTTTGAGTGCATATATATATATATATATATATATATATATATATATATATATATATATATAATGTGTGTGCCCTCACCAGTTACAACCCTCTTCCTAATTTTTTTTTTTCATTCTCCAGAATCTGTATCTAATTTTATAATGCTTATGATAAAAAATAAACATGAAAACTTGCTTATTATCATCATCATCATTATTATTGTTTTGAAGAGAATTAACAAAGATAATCATTTTGTGACAACTATGTTGCTCGTCATTTTTAAATGTACAATATAAACAAAATATTGTTTTGTAATTGTGAGATGACAAGTTATACATTTAGTCAGGACATTCACATTGTATGCTCATCCTAATATGTTTACAACATTTTCAGTCATCAATTTCAAATTTTTTTATTAATTTTAAAATTAATGTTTCTTTCTTTACTTTTTAAAATTGTTAACCAAAATATTATGTTGGTGCAAAAATAATGTCGTTTTCTCTTTTGAAGTTGAACGTCAAAAAATGACATTATTTTTGCACCAACCTAATATTTAACTTTAGATGAGCTTACACAGTGACAAAATAAACAGCAATAAATAATATAAAATTTAAAAAATACATTTTCATTTATCTAATATTTTATATTTATCATTTGGATATTTTTCCTGTTCAAACAACCTATAATCCTAAGTTATCGTTGACTTTGGAAAAAAAAAAAAAAATACTTTCTTAAAGAGATTTGTAGTCCAAGTTGTATTGGATTTTGCCACACACCAACGTAATTTTTAAAGCATGAAACAATCTTATATATTAGAATCTTGATTTTTCTATACTTCTAGAATAGTTAATACTGTCATGAAATAATTATTTTTCATTAATTTATTAATTTCATAATTTCCTGATAAGTCTATAAGAATTACCTCCCTTGACTTTAGACCTCGCTTTTTCTCTCTTCCAAAACAGTACCAAAGCAACATACTTATGCAGAGTTCTGTTTTCTCTCCATAACTGACACTCTTTAAATGAAATCAGAAAATATCTCTTCTTCCACTACAAACATGTTTATTTTTTTTGTTGTATAAAATGACTTAAGTTATTGTAAGAGATTGCAATATTGTTTTGTATTTTAAAAAATATTTTTCAGTTTAATTTGTACAAATGAATGCTATGTAATCATTTTAGCATAGCCAAGACTTGGATTACTATTTGTGAATAAATATTTAAAAAGATCCTTTTTCTGGATCTGATGTCTGTAAAAAGAAAAACCTGATTGTGCAAGACACAAGCATCTCTTTGTAATTAATACATTTTCCTGCCAGAGATAAACTGATGGTCATGCATTTTCTTTCTTAGATACCAAACATGTTTTACATAGGATTATTAAACTATTTTTCATACTTTAAATTTTATTATTTCAAACCATTATTCTAGTTTAATACCTATGCATAGTCTGATAGATTTCTACTTTTGCTTTGCCTATATCCTTTTTTAAGAATCCTTAGTGAATAGGGTATTTTTTATTTTTTTTTTTACTTTGAACAGTTAAATGTAATGTTTGCAAGCAGAAATTTGCATTCAACAATAAGTACATGTTTGCATGATTTCATTTAGATGACATGTTTTATTTGCCTAATTTTCTTCCCATTTATATTTTGAAATTTCTCTTGCTTCTCTAAGTCCAAAGTTATAAAAAAAAAAAAAGAAAAAAAAAAAGAAAAAAAGATGCTCATTAATTAATCAAAACAGCATAATTTGATATCAATAGTGTTCTGATTAATTGCCAGGAACAAGTAAGTCTTGGATTTGGAATCTCTTACTTGACCACAAGCCTCAGTTTCCCTTTCTTTACCTTCTTTTTGATTAAAAACAATTATGAAATTAAGAAAAGGAGAGAAAAAAAAAAAGCAGGTTTTCCAGATTTCCTATTGTCTATGCTTTCTATTCTGATTAGTGCAGATCTAATGCTATTAATCATCTGGATTGTCTCAATTCTTACCAAAGATTCCTAGTTCTTTTAGCAAGGTTTTTTTTTTATCATTCCCAGTAATCCAACAATGACTGGCACAACCATCACTTTCATATCCCACAATTTCTACAGCTCTCTAGTGAACATCATAATCCACTATTATTATAAGAAATTTGTGAAACACACAATTTGTTATCAAAAGTTTTAATATAGAATTTAAATTAGAGTTTTATTTTCTACTTGTCTTAAAAATCATGCTTGCTATCTTTAATTCTTTATATCTTGCATTAATCTTACTCAGATATATAGAGCTTTTAAATAACATGTTATTAAGCAACTACAGTTGACAAAAATATATCACTTGTGGTTTATCATATGTGCATTTAGCCAGTTACTTAGGATTCAAATTTAAAAGTAGACATTCACTTCACCTTAATCACTCGGTATTTACCACATTTAGACATGCGCCATAAAATTTGTAATATACAAATTAGGTCTACTGAACCTTTAACATCTGTCTATATTTCCGAGATGAGGTATTGTAACTACACTATTTACATTGTTTTGACTGTTGTCCTCTTTATTACCATATTCACAATGTTTCAGCCATTGTATGCTCTGGCCTTCTTCATGTGATATTTGTTGAAATTTTGAAGGATACATGGCTCAGTGGATAAAAGCCTTGGTTGATTGATCCAACAGTGACTTGATTCAAAGGGTTGTAAGTTCAATTCCTGGCCACAGTAGAGAGAACAAAAACTTGGAGAGTTGTGTTATTAAGGGGAATTAACTAAAATTGAGATATCCAAAGGCATGGCACGTGGAATTAGAACAATCTACCCTCGTGGGTTAAATAAAGGGTTTGGTTCAAAATTCCAACAAATATCACCTGAAAAAAGCTGGAGCATACAACAACTGAAATGTTATGAATATGTCAATAAAGATGAGAACAGTAGTCTAAACATAGTGTAAATAGATACAAATTATGGTTTCAACAAATAAAAGTTAATTTCCACACCAGAAAAATACTATCTATCCCATAATAATTACATGTAGTGTATGAAATATGTATACAAACATGACAATTATTAACTAGTAATATTTTTTTTCAAAGATCTAGCAGAAAAATGGAATTAACTTTTGAGATGTTAATTTTTCCTGCACATTTATTAAATTTGTAAATAGAAGTTTATCAAAGTTATTTCTGTTTTATTTCTGTTTGCTATCTTTTGAGACTTTTTTTTTTTATTTTTATTTTTTTATTTTATTTACCAGTCAGCTTCGAGAAATCTGGTTTAAAAAGAATCTGGCTATCAGTCATTTTAACTATAATTGTGATTTCCTCTTGCTGCAAAGGATGAGAATCAAGATGTCTTACTTGACTACAATGGCATCACCAATAAGATCTTTATTATAAATGAATGTACTTTACTTTGTTGAAACGTGGTAAAAGAAAGAATTTGAAAGATAAAGTGGGAACAGATGAAAATGAAATCACTTTACAACACCTCCCATTTGATCCATCAGTAGACAATGTCCTATAGGATTTTACCTTAGAAAATAAAAATCTATCCCAGTTTATCTTCCCAGTAAACATAAAATTTGAAGTGCTGACTGTTCATCTTGTGTTTTCTGCATTAAGATATAGAAAAGTAACTGATAATGTTATAGAGAAATATTGAGGAAGAAAATGGTATTCAACAAAATTATGTAATAATTAAAGAAACTGCAATTCAAATTATATGAATATCATTGGCTTAATATTGACCAATGAGAAAGTGTTTTGCTAAAAACAAGG